AAGAAGTAGGACCCGTGTAAATATGGGATCAGCTTTCCAGCGCTGGAGAGAACTCAAGGAGCGGAAGGCCTGCGATCGGACGCCGAGGTTGCTTTGTTTCTTCTCGATAGGTGAGTAACACCGTATCTGTGCCGCAACAGCTAAAGTCTGTCTAGTACACTGGACGCGACAAAGCGACCATTGAAAATCATTTGAAATTTGTGTCAATACATCATGAACAGAACGCAGCAGCAGTTTTCTGTCGGGGATTTGTCGTGTCATGTCGTGTCGTGCCGCATCCAGTGTAGACCATAGATATGTATATATATCTATGGTGAAAGACAGCATCACTCATTATAATGAGTTCTATAGTATTTTGTCGCACCGCGCCACTCGCATCCAGTGTAGACATGGTGTAACATTGGTTTTGCTTTGTTTCACAGAACTAATCGTTGCCTGGGTTGCGTACGTATGCGTGGGGCGGAGCTGTCAAAATAGGGGCGAGACCCTTTTGGGGTAGTGGCGTGTATGTTTTGGTGATTTCAAATGTCAGTATTGGCTACCAGAAATCGCTTACCCCACCTTTAACAACAGAACCCAAACTTAAATTTAATTGATATTTATTTTTAAATACAACAAGCAACACTCAACTTAAAAAAATGTATGCAAACATGTAAATTGCACATAATGCAGTTTTTAAATTAACTTCTAAATTAGAAGGCTTAGATGAAGGCTTTGTTTTCAGATGCAAAAACAGACCATTTCTATCTTTCAAAATGATGACAAGCTATTAAACGTTCAGTGGTGTGAGAGACGTGCTCGACTCTGGGCTCTGACTGAGTGTTTTACAGATGCAGGAGTAATTGATAAGTGTGCGAGTGCAGTGACACGCGTGACAGATGCTAACAGAACCAGCTAAACCCTTTACAGAACATAAATCTGAAAACATTCATTCAGAAAACATCAGGCCATGTTTGCCTGAGCAAAACTAGTCCGGCACATCAGACACTCATTCAGACAGCAACATTCACTCATATTCACCAAATCTCTCACACATCAAAATACAGAAATATTACAACCGCTGACTGCTTCACTGAAGACCAAGTTCACAACTGCAAAAGTTTGGAGTACAACAGATCTCATGCTTGGAGAATCTAGGTCAAGAAATAGAGTGGCTCTGGTTTTCAGATGCAAAAACAGACCATTTCTATCTTTCGAAATGATGACAAGCTATTAAACGTTCAGTGGTGCGAGAGACGTGCTCGACTCTGGGCTCTGACTGAGTGTTTTACAGATGCAGGAGTAATTGATAAGTGTGCGAGTGCAGTGACACGCGTGACAGATGCTAAAAACACAAACACGCACTCACAGAGCTCCTGTCAGAGTAATCATCAGCGGGTGATCAGTGGCGAACACTTTTCACATGTAGAAGTTGTTTGCACATGTGTGTGTGTGTGTGTGATTGTGCTTGTTGAGTTTGAGATACTCTGTAAAACTCCTTGATAAGATTGACAGACAGTGCGCTCGCATTCATTAGCGAGGTAAGATGTAAACTGTTAAAGTGTCATTAAGACACACTTCAGCACAAACAACATCCTGAGAACTTGCTGATATTTCCGGGTGAAACTGATAAAAATTAACATAATTGAATGTATAAGATAGTGTACCCTTGAAAGTTCACTACATTACTTTTTAGCAGATATTTGTCTATAAATAAAATATTATTATTATTACTATTATTATTATGATAAATTATCAAAAATATTTTACAATTATATTAAACTGAAATTATATATAAAATGTAAAATATTAAAGATAATAAATCAGCATATTAGAATGATTTCTGAAGGATCATGTGACACTGAAGACTGGAGTAATGATGTAGCTTTGATCACAGGAATAAATTACATTTTAAAGTGTATTAAAATAGAATATATATATATATATAATTTTTTTTATAAATTAATAATATGTCCTACCTTGACTTACTTTTCAATAGGAAATACATCAATACAACGAAGAAAACTGTCAAGAGAGAAAATCTGCAGAAGAATTAAAATGTAAAATACAAATAAAATCATGGAGAAGGCTGGGGTGTGTGCCACTTTAATGTGAGCAATGGGTGAAAATCTGAAGGGCTTTTTGCTAAATTGTGTGCATGAGAACTATGAGTCACCTCTGTAACACACCTGAACAGACCATACAGCAATTTATCACAGCTGGACCTGGTATTATCAGGGATATTAAGTACAATGGAGAGAACTGAAGGAAATGCTTCCAATGCTGTAAAGAAAAGCAGTGAAAGCAAATTGGGTACAAATTATGGCTTGACTCTTTAAAAAAAGTCAGTTTTGATTATTTTCTAAACAAAGGGTAAGTGAAAGGAGGTGCTTTACCTTCAGAAAATGGCATTCGTCCCCCTCAGGAGGTCAAGCTGCAATTTTTCATGTGTTATAATAATATATAATATATATAATAATATATAAAATTCATGTAAAATCTGGGAAAATTGAATGAGATTATTCACTTCCTGACAAGCTGTAGAAAGTGTCAGAATTATGTTGATTGCCGTGTGTCACAATTTTATGGAATAAAAGTAGTATTTTATGATGTTCATTTTATGTTTGACAGCATTATTTTAGTATCAAGATACTATTTTTTATATATATTTAAAATTTTCGATTTAATTTTTTATTTATGTTTTTAAATAGATCTACACCGTTTTGTTTATTTTTTATTTCTGTTTTAGTTATTTTACTACATCAAGTTAAACAAAATAGAAATGAGAAATGTTGCTTTGGCAACTAGCTGAAATAAAAGTGAAAGTTTTTTTTTATATATTATTCGGTTTTAGTTAGTGTTTATTTTTTTTATGTAACATATTTTTTATGATTTTAATTTTAGTTATCTATTATAACACTGGTTTAACAATAGTTTGCCTAACATATGCAATCATCCTCTCCCCAAAGAATAAGAGATTTGTTGCGATTACTAATTCATACCCCATTTCTAAGTAGAATAACAGTTAGAGATATATATCCAATACAGATCATGTAAAAGAGATGTAAACAACAATCAATCAAATTTCAGTACGCAAATGAGACAAGCACTGTAAAAATCAAGAAATTTTCCAGATGTATTGCTACATTTCTATTTAAAGTTACAGTAAGTCAGTATGTCATACAGTATGAAAAACAAAGCTGGATAGCACACCTAAGACTAAAATGATCTACAAAACAACTTTTGAATAGAGTTTGTACAAGCTCTTTTTGTTAAATTAATTGCTTAAAGGTGTTGAAAAGAAGAAGAAAAAGAAGTGCTGTAAAGATGCATTCACACCATGTCGAAATTACCGTAATTATGAGTTCCTAGCTAGTAAAAAAATGGTTCATTCATGTCCTCGTCAAACTTATAATTACAAGCTGGAAACTTTTTAATGAATTTTCTGAAAGCTCTTCTCCCACTTGACCGTGGTCAAGCCTGCCAAAAAAAAAAAAACCTTCCCAGAAACTGTAGCTCACAAGCCGCTGGTTACAAAAGTATTTTTTTCTTTTTCTTTTTAAATGGGCATGAAATGAAAACTCACTGTATCTATTTTCTAAAAGCATATTATAGAGCTTATTGTGAACAATTCATATGTGCATGTGCTTAATTTTTTATTTTAATGGTTAATCAAAATGTCGTAACTAGATCTTTTGGTGACATCGACAGATTCTCTCTGGTGAAGGATGCAGGAATCCTCCAATCATTAGTCTGCTTTAAACTCTGCCCCTGCAAGCTCATGCTCATCTGCATATCATTTTGAATGCCACACCCACATCTCAACAGCCAATCAACAACCTACACATAGAACCAAGGCCCTTCCCTACACTTTTTCTCTTTTGATAATCCATACATCACTTTACAGAAGAAAAGATCTGTCGCTACTTCAGTTCCATTGTGACTTTAATCCAAGAAATATTTTTACCTTTTCAAAAATGTTTAAAAAGTTTAAACAAGCAATACAACAAATCTAATACACTGATTAATTATTGACAAATTTATCATTCAATTTATCATTGAATAAACAAATCAAAAAGTGTCAATTCTGAATGGTGTATTTCTACCATAAAAAGTATATAGTCAAACACATGTTCAAAACCATATTCATCATAGTATTAAAAGGCAAATGTCACAAAAATAACAATATATAAAATTCTATGTACAAACCCAATTCCAAAAAAGTTGGGACACTGTACAAATATTCTATTATTCAGAAATCACTTCAGAAATCACAAAACAAATGAAACATTAAAAATCAGTCAAGGAGTGTTGCTGAGAATATAAAGTGTTTGAAGTGCATGTTGAAATTTATAGTTAATATTTCAATAATTTAACAACACATTCACTTCACGGTTATCTGGAGTCAGTTACATGCAGACAAACTAATTAAACATATTTGTTGTTGTTGTTGTCAGTTTTATTGTAAAATGTGTTTATTTTAATTTAATATATGTATTTATTTTAATATTATGACTATAAATTAATGTAATTATATTATATAATCATATTATATTAAATAATTACAATTATTATTAATATTATGTTAATTCAATTTAATATTAACTTTAATATATAATTTTCATATAAATAGGTGAAAAAGGCCTGCACACTATGAAGCTGGAAAATGAAAGAAAACAAAACAATACAAAAGTTGCTTCTTCAGTGTCTAATCTTTTTTTTTTTTTTAAATCTCCTAATTGTTTTTATCTCACATTTGCTTTTTTTTTACCCTCATAGTCTGCAGCCTTCTTTGTAATTTTCCGTCTATTTGTATTATTAATATGGCTATGCTTTTTGGACTTTTTTTTAGACATGGTTTTTGATTTCATGCTTTTTATTTTTGTGTAAAATTAATAAATTTTTAACACTAATTTTACATTTTATATTAATTAATTATTAGATTTCTATTTCATGTCTGTTGAAACCTTCACCGTATCACGGCACATTTATTCCATGAACACAAGTAACACCAAACTCACCATAGACAATCACTGTAGCCGTGGTGCTTCGTCTCTTAGCAACGATGTTCTTAGCGACGCAGGTGTAGTTAGCGGTGTCAGAAAGCCGCGCCTGTTTGATGATCAGGTTATGATCGATAGTGATGTAGAAATTCCGATCGTCTGCAGGATCGATAATCTCTTCGTTCTTCAGCCATTCCACCTGCACAGAGACAGAAAGATGAGAAGCCATTAGTGAAATCCATACGGCTACACCTGATGGGCCGTTCCGGGACTCGCAATATCAGGACGTCGTCATGCAATCTCTGTCCCGTACATGCATTAATTCCCCCTATGCGTCTGAAATTATCAAACGTTGTAATTAGCTTCAAAGCTAACTCCTCAGGGCAAGACTGACTCAGAGCTTGAGCAATTTTGTAAAACGATAGCACACATTTTAGAAAAAGAACATTGCAGAGACATTAAAAGGAAATTGCATGCAGGCAAAAGACTTGTGAGGATATTTTTGGACACAGTGTTTAATCACAAAAGTGGTCTGGTAATATTTCAAGGAAACATAGAGGAGAAACAGGAAGTGGCTGGTGGTTTAGCTTGAAGAGCATCTTGAGGACATCACAAAATCAAAGGACTTTAAATAGCAGAAAGTTCACTACACAACTGCCTTGAAAACATAACTGACCAATCACATCTCGACCAACCAGCTGTTGCCGACTGTCATTTTCTTACACATTTTTTAATTCAAGTTTCAATGCAAGGAAGATCTGTGTTTTGAAAAGAATTTTACAGAAATTATGAGATATGCTGCAGTAAGTAAATAACATTAAAAAGTGATAAAATAAAAAAAAAGATTTGCCTTCATTCTGATTAACATTTTTTAATCAAATTATTCAAAATAACTCTAATAAGCACATAAGTATTGGATAAAATAGTCAATTTTCATTTAAATTTTTTTTTAGCAATTCTATTGCTATCAGAATGAAATACTGAAAGAAACATATGTATGTGTGCGTGTGTGTGTGTGTGTGTATGTACACACACACACACACACACACACACACACATATAGTTAAAATTGACACTTTTATTGATTAAATCAATAAAAAATTAGAGTAAAGACTTTGTCACAAAATATATATTCATTCAAAGAATCCTAAAAAAGTACCACGGTTTCCACAAAAATATGAAGTAGCACAATTCTGATAAGCAGCAAATCAGCATTTTATAATGATTTCTGAAGGATCATGTGACACTGAAGACTGGAGTAATGATGCTGAAAAATCAGCTTTGCATCAAATAAATAAATTACATTTTAAAATATATTCACATAGAAAACAGCTCTATGAAATGATAATTATATTTCATAATATTACTGTTCTTACTGTATTTTTGATTAAATAAATGCAGCCTTGGTGAGCAGAAGAGACATTATACTTTCTCCTGACTATTTTTTTTTCACTGAGTTAACACCAGTGCATTCTGGGATTTTTTAATGAATGCAGCGCTGCCTTAGAATTGGTCTGAAATGAGGTTTCTTACAGGGTGGCATCATTATCCTGCCTACAGTTTGGAACAGCCAAGTCAATGATGCCTTAAAATGCTGCCTAGGTTTACAACAGAGATAGACATGTCTCCACATACAGAAACTGTTGAGAAGTCATCAGTGCTGCCGCTCAGTGAGAACGTAGCCTTCGCATTACAAGCTCTTTACATACTGTATACATCGGATGCATTAACGCAACGGTATGTCAATCAGGCGAGCGAGACGCAGACTTGTGTGTTTGCGTGTGTAAATGTGTCACAGCGGTGTACCTGAAGGCTGCTGAGAGGGAATAGGGTAAAAATATCACCCTCTCATTGGCTCAGCAGGAGGGAAACTCACCCAATCAGCTGCTCATGCTCTCCAGCTGTGATAAACGCGTCACACATATTAGCACTCGTGCGTGCACGCACACTTCCCTATACATTTCACCTCATTACATCTAGCAAAGGTAACCCAAATCCCAGCTGTCAAACTAAACCTTCAGATTACTGTATTGAGTGCTTTTGTCACCTCAACACACGCGCACATCTTTCTACAATAGCATTATCAGAAAATGAGCGCCTTCACGGCCCCACAGGTTCTCACACACACACACACACACACACACACACACACACACACACACACACACACACAGACGCTCTCACACACACACACACACACACACACACACACACACACACACACACACACACACACACACACACACACACACACACACACACACACACACTCTTGTATGTGATAGCTGTTCTCAATAAGCTTGTATTGTCATTTTAAGCTTAAAATCCTCAAAATTATTTATTTATTTTATTTTTTGCAGCAATGCCATAGAACATACCAACACGGTTCCCCAAAGAACATTTCAGTGATCAGTTTATGTTCTTAAAAGTTCAACTTTTTTCTTAGTGTGAAGAACATTTTTTAAAAACTGTAGAACCTTTTTCCACTATTAAGAAGCTTTTCTGGAATAGAAAGTTTCCATGGATTTTAAAGGTTCTTCATGAGATCAAAGATGCAGTAAAGAAACTTAATTTTTGACAGTGTAAAGTATGAATTTCTTTACAAAACATATTTAATTTGTATTTATTATATGTAACGAATCAGCTCATGAGGAAATATGAATAATTAATCATAACTAGTTATAATTAATTATGGTATTCAGCAGATCTACGCCTGAGGGAAACGTCAGATTTTTAGTTCAAACACACCTTTGTAAAAAGGTGCAAATGATACTTAATGTATCAATTAATAAGACTAAGTTTGATACTTGCGAGTCTCGTCTGTCTGAAAGAGATTCCTGATGCAATCTTAAGGCTTGCATGTCTCATCTGTCTGAAAGAGAGGTTTGATGTAATCTGAAGTTTCCAGTTGATCTTTGCTGAAGTTGGTCAATGAAAAGAACCAGTTTTGAGTCAGAGGATCTTGATGAAGGGAAAGGACAAGGCCGAAGCCTGGCACGAGCTTATGATGTTCTGGAGCGTTGGAGCGTCTTATCGAAACCTAACAGAACCACCGACTGGGCGGGTCACATGAAGTGTGGCCTTTAAAGCCTGCAAAGATTCATGCCTCTCAAGATGGGCTTGTCCAATGAGGAAGTCCGGAATCTCAAGTGGGGGTTCTGAGATACTGGGGTGTTTTTATGGCCCTTTGTTTGAAAGCATGGTAATTTGCATATGAAACTCGGATAAAAATTATTACAGACTCTTAGAACACTAATATGTTGTGTAGGTGTAAACATACAATATACACTCTCAATTAGATCATCCGAATACGAATTCATAGATACTAAGCATGGAAGGGATATATATATGTAAGCTGACAGGAGTGTGTTTCGATTATAAGCCTGCATAACAGTATACAATTTCAAAGACAAAATACACGATGACAATAATATACCCAATGACCTGAAGGATCATGTGTGTTCATTCAAAGAAAGGTTTTCCAATTAATTAATTAGCAAAGAAAAGTCCTTCCCTTGTGGATTTTCCTTATGGGCAAGGAAGCGATTTTCTTCACCTAAATTCCAGGAGGTCGTAAATGTATCGGGTGTCAGGGCTGCCATGGAACCAGGGGCCTGTTCGGCTTCCTGGGGTGTTACAGAGTATTTGTTAAATCTAGCTAACAAAATATATATTGTGTGTTTGAGTGGTCCAGACGCTACATATATAAGAAGCATGCATATATGGAAATTTATTCAATACTGTTCGAAAAGCTCAGACTTTGCTAAGACTAGATCTCCATATTACGATTGCTCAAAATTAAAAGTTTGGATTCAAATAAACTCTCTAACCCTAAAATTTAACTTTATGGCACACTTACAATTTTAGCCTAATGGGTGACACAAACGAGCAACAAATGACTTAACCCTTTTGCTGTGCTGAAAATCCTTCACCTAATTTGCTGTTCCTGGTCAAAAATGACCTGCCTTTGAAAAATTATTAGTAAATTGTGCTATATTATCACCAAATCTTGGATTCAATCTTTTTGTCAAATGTACTTATTTCACTTATTTCAAGAAGTTGATAAAAAGACTTAATCCAAGATTTGTTAATAATATAGGAAAATTAGAATTTTTTTTAGGCTGGTCATTTTTGACCAGGAACACCACATGTGTGAAAGGTGGGGAAAAAATCCCCAAAAAGTAAAAAAAAAAAAAAGAAGTTTTTTGGGAAGTTGTTATACCGTGTCAATAAGTTTTAGTCCAATGCAATAAAATTAACTGGCATTTTTAAGAAAAAGAAAATCATTCTCCAGATCAAAACGACTAAAAACGGGTTAAACTAAAAAAGGGAGCTGAATCTTATTTAGAGACCAGACTTTGCACAGGCAAACACCATAATTTCTCCAAAAGACACAATACTGTAGTTTTGATTACTTTACAACTACTCTAAAATGTGTAAAATAACAAAACTCACTGAGTGAAAAGTGTGTCCAACTTTCGATGAGTAGTGTACGTTCACCCGTGTGTAAACGGCATGTTTGTAGTGCTCTCTCTTTGAGCGTGACTGACATTTGGTCCTTATCTCTCGCAGCCGTGTCTCTGTGAAGCTCACATTCGGCTCAATCACGGCTGTTTCTGGACGGCCTGATTTCTCTCTGCAGGGACTCGTCTGCTGATCAGGATGAAAGAGGCAGAGAGACGCTCTTCACGCACCTGCTCATTTTCTCCTGTTGGTGTTTACCGCCAGAACAGAGTTCCTGTACCCGCCGGGCAAACGCAGAATCAACAACCAAACACACACAAACACACACACACACAGGCTGAAAGCAAAACCAATCAGGAAGTTTTGTGAAATATTTGAATATCTCTCAGATAATTGCTTTTTCTTCGTGCCAAAATAGATGTGTATTTATGCATCTGTGTGTGTAGGTGATGGATATTTGATTTTTAAAATAAACACTGTCCCCATCAAAGAGAAGTTTTTATGTTGATCTGAAGGTTGAGAAACTAGTGAATGTGTAAATGTGCACATCTGAAGGTTTAAACAACATTAATTGCATTACTTGGAAGTAGGGATGCACCGACACAGATACTGCGCTCCTGTACTCATACTCATTAAAATGCTCTGATACCAAAAAACTATCCCACACAGCGTGTGAACAGTGCTGTATCCAGACAAAGAAACACAACAGAACAAACAGAGAGCAGAATGGAGTTA